CCCTTTGAGTGCTTGAGGTTGGGAGGAGCTCGCTCGACATGCTGGCGCTTGCCTCATACGACGCGTCGGTAAACTTGGTGAGGGTGGCGCCCCAGCTGTGAGCGCTCGCGTCGACGTGGATCACGGCGTCGAATTGATGGCTCAGGTGAAATGGGGCACCATTAAATTGGTCGAAGTGCAGTTGCCAGAAGATCAGCTCCTCAATGGCGGCCCGTGGCATCCAGATTCTTGAGTGCCAAGATTCCGCTGCATCAATTAATTGTAGCAGCTCGTGGCTGAAGGCGCGTGCCGTCGTGCCCAATGCGAGGGACATGGAGCTCAACATTCCGGTGATACGAGCGACTTGCCGAATTGGGACTTGTTGGCCGCGTTGCCCTTTAGAGATAAGTGTGTTGAGCGTGTCCAGGAACTGTGCCCGCCGATCGGATCCGATGCTAAACATGCCGCTTTCCGTGTCAAGCCCCATCCCCAAAAACCGTGTTTGATGGGCCGGCTGGAGGCGCGATTTTTTCTCGTTGATCACAAAACCTGCCGCCCCCAGGTCGCGTAGAACCTCTGTGCATGTCTTGCGTGCTTGCTCCGCAGAGTCACAGAGGAATAGCAAGTCGTCAACATATGGGACTACGCGGACGCCACATGCACGCCAACGTTTGGCCAATTGCTTGATCAACTGGGTGAAGACGAAAGGTGCTGTCGCCAGTCCAAACGGCAAAGCTCGGAAGCAGTAGAACTCGCCTTCGAATTGGAAGCCTAGGAACTTCCAGCATGATGGGTGCATCTCAACATGGTGGTAGCCCGACTTTAGGTCAATGGTGAACAACCAGTCGTTGCGTCGAATGATCTCTGAAACCCGATCCAGGCCCTCGTATTTGAATTTGGGGACTTGGAGGTGTTGGTTGACCTTGCGTAGGTCGAGGATGAGGCGACATTTGTCGCGTTGTTCCACCACGTTGAGTGGGCTTACGCACGAGAGCGCAGTCCGCGAGGATACCTTTGTGGCCGCGCCCGACGTAATTAAGTCGCGAATGGCCTCACGAGTGAACGTGGTGTGTGCGTGAACACCCGCGTGGTTTGTTGTTTCGAAGGGTGGCGGTTCTGTAGTTTTCCAAGGCAGCCAATATCCCCTGGCAATGATCGAGATAATAAAACTGCTGCCGCACCACGATATCCACCAGTGCAGTTGGTTACGCAGTCGGTTGCGCATGACCTTCACCGTGTCGTCTGTGACCGCGTTCTCGTATGGGTCCCATTCCGCCGCTCGCCACTTGTCGTCCGCCACTGCACGTGGGGGCAACCGGGTGTGGTGTATTGGGTGATTAGCCTTTGGTCATAAGGCCAGCCTGGGGGCTTATACATACTCGGTGCTATGCCTTCAAGATCTCCGTGTACCATACTTCCTCCAGTCCTTCTCCTTTCCACATTCTCCCATCTCTTTCTCTCTCTCTCTCTCTCTCTCTCTCTCTCTCTCTCTCTCTCTCTCACTCACTTTCTCTCTCTTGCTCTCTCTCTCTATCTTTCCCTCTCTCTTGCTCTCTCTCTCTATCTCTCCCTCTCTCTCTCTCGCTCTCTCTCTCTCTCTCTCTCTCTCTCTCTCTCTCTCTCTCTCTCTCTCTCTCTCTCTCTCTCTCTCTCCCTCTCTCTCTCTCTCTCTTTTTTTTTTTTTTTTTTTTTTTTTGAAGTCTCTAACGGGCTGCCTCGCATCCTTATGCGGGCCTCTTGGGGGGTTGAGGGTCTTTTTTTGTTTTTTTGTTTTTTGTTTTTTTTTGAATTCCCGAGCCTCTTGGTTCGTGAGGCCTCCTTCCGTCGCCCTCCTTCTCTCCCTCGTTCTCACCCTCTCTCCCTCTCTCTCTCTCCCTCTCTCTCTCTCTCTCTCTCTCTCTCTCTCTCTCTCTCTCTCTCTCTACCTCTCTCTCTCCCTCCCTCGCTCTCCCTCTCCTTCTCTTTCTCTCGCTCTCTCTCCCTCTCTCTTCCGCTTTCTCCCGTTTGCTCTTCTTCTCAATCTCTGCCCCTTATTCTCACGTGTTCTTTCCTATCTCAGTTTCTGCCTCTTTCCTCCTTACTCTTCCCTTCTAGTCAGGGGGCTGCTCGTGCTGCAAGGTGGCTGCCTTGGTTCCACTTGCCTTCTTTCTCACTCTTTGTTTTTTTTTTTTTTTTGAATTAAAACAAGAGAAATTCATTACTTTACTCCACACATGGGTACATAGCATGTACTACCCCCATATCCGCCCTTATGGCTAGGGATTTCTAAGGCCTTCAGCCCATACCCCATGCTAGCTACCAGCCACGCACCCTCGGTGCTCCCACCTACGCCCCCCGGCATAGTGGCAAGGGGCGCCGCCTCGTGTGCCTCCTCACACGACTGGTGAGGGGCCTTGAGCGCCTCGCCCTCCCATAGGGCAAGCATTGGCCATATGGCCGGGCTGGCCGCAGCGGAAGCACACCCCTTTGAAGCGGGGTTCGTGGCAGCTTGCGGATGGCATACCCTTGCCTTCCGTTTCGCCCTCTCGGGTAGGCATGCGATTACCACGAGTGTAGCCGGCGCGTGCACGCTTGAGAGCCGCCACATCCGCAATTGCAAGCTTGTATGAGCGTGAGGTTAACACACTCTTGGACTGGTACAGCTGAAAGCGATCGGCAGCCTCAAACCCCGCCTCGTCCGCTACCAAGAGGACTTCGAAGCGCTTGTGGATGAGCGATTCGATTTCCGCGACATTGGCGAGGGCGCTTTCGACATCGCCGTGCTGGAGCTTGAAATTGACGTGCTTCAGGTGTGCCTGGATAGCAGAGAAAACCTCCGCCTGATTGCGCACGCCTTTGCGCATGAAGGTGGTGGGTGCGGGTGTGGGGCTGAGGGGTGGAAGAGAAGGTGCGGGTGCGATAATACGACGACGGGTAATGTTGTTGGGGGCCTCACCATCGTCGTTCTCTGAGTCGTCGCTGTCGTCTTGAGCGGCGATCGGTGCCGGTACGGGAGCGGGGAGAGGTGCGACAGTGGTATCGTTGACGCGAGCAGCCTTGTTTGCGCGGGGAGCAGTGACTTCTTTCTGATTTTCGATTTTTGCAGGTGCTGAAATATAGTCGGAGGAAGTTGCGATTGTAACTGGGGCGTGCTGTTGTAACATCGAGAGCAGTGCCTGCATCTGCTGCGCAGTGAGGGACGCGAGGGGGTTGCTACTGTAACTGGGGCGGCTTCTACTGGGGTCGCTGCCTTCTGTCGCTTCTGCAGAGTGGGCCCCGGTTGACCAGCGTCGCCGTCCGCGTCAGCCGGCGTTGACTTGACCGGAGCGCGCGGCTGCCTGGCAGCCACACGCTCGTCAGCAGGAGGCACGCGCGACTGTGAAACAGTCGCGCGTGCTTCTTCAGAGGGGGCTCGGGAGTTGCTCCCGAGCAGCACTTCGACGCCTGAAGTGCCCTCGCCGAAATTATCTTCAGCAGGGCGTTTTCCGCGGCGGTCGGGTGCCCCGGGCGCGTTCGCGTTGTCCGCAGCGTTATTCGGGGTAGTGTTGGCGGGAGCCATGTTCGCCAGGTTGTGTTGGAGAATGTCGGTAAGAAGGGTCGACGGGGACTTGAACCGCGGGAGAGATTGCGTCTTCGCCAGGATGAACGAGAACTAGAAAGTAAAACTAGAAAATGGAAATGAAGAACGTGGGTGGAGCTACTGGAATCACGTTCCTCTTTTGTAGGCAAAAGAGGGGTGAGTAGCGTCGAGCCGCTACCTTTGCTTTGCTGGCCACGCCCTCGCTTTCACAACACGAAATTTGAAAAAGTGTTACACTTTTACAAATTATAATATTTATCCTCGTTCATTCTTTCATAATTCATCCTCGTTCATTCTCCCATGGTTCATCCTCGTTCGTTCTCCCATGATTCATCATCATTCATACATTCTTTGTTCAGAACCAGAAGTCCGAGAACCTCAGTGTCGCACTTATCGCTCCTCGCCTCTTGGAGCTTCTCGGTCAGGAAGTGAGTCTTAAGACTACTCGGATAGTCTTGCTATATTTCCTCACTTTTCGTGCACAGAGTTCCGCTGGTGCATTCCATAACATCGCAACCGTGCATTTCCGCTGGTTCTTGACGTTATTACTACTAACTTGATATGTCATTCTATGATTTTTTTGCGCGCCGTCACTTGCAGATGAGCTGACGCTTTAGTCATCTTGTTTCCACTACCCTGGTTGTAAACCGAATGAGCAACTTCTTGTTCGCCGCATGTGCGCGTCACATGCGCAGGTGAAGAAGGCCGACGACTGCATCGGCGAGGTTGTTACCAATGCCGTCGCGAACCTCGCAGACGGCGAGGTGCTGCTGCTCGAGAACCTGCTCTTCCATGCCGGGGAGACGACGAACGACGCCGGTTTCGCGCAGCAGCTCGCGGCGAACGCGGGTCTCTATGACGAAGCGTTGAGACTGGCGAGCAGTGAACACGCGTCCACGGTCTCCGTGACCAAGTATACCAAGTCCGTTGCTGGACTCGCGCTGGCCAAGGTAAGCTTTCATGTCGTTCCTCGCTCAAATGGTGAGTTTAATTGTTGGAAACACATTAACTTAATTATCATGCTGTTTTTTCTCACTCTCATCATAACCACCACTCCCCTGATCCGTGTACTCATTATTGTCTTGTTCAGGAGCTGGATTACTTGGTTGGAACAATCTCTGAGCCCCAGCGTCCGATGATGGCACTCGTGGGTGGATCTAGGCTTTCCTCCAAGATTACCTTGCTGGAGAGTCTTCTTGTACGTTGACCGTCTCTGATCGCCTTGAGATGATTCCGTGTATTGCTTTCTAAGGTTCGATGATGACCGTCGTGGGTAGATCCAAGTTTACCCTCAAGCATTTCTTGCTGGGGTAGCTTCTTGGCAAGTATGTTAACCGTTCATTGCTGACCAAGGGTGTCAAGTCAACCTGATGCTTCCGGTTTCTGAATTCCTTCACCTGTTTTCAGCTCTTGTCCACCAACCTACCCACCACCTTCCCCAACTCTCAAATCCCCCTTCCAGATGCGATGTCATTCTGCTGGGCGGCGGCTTGATCTTTACATTCTACAAGGCGCAGGGCTTATCGATTGGAAGCTCGACCTGCGAGGAGTCTCAGATTGGCCTGGCGGCCAGTTTCCTTGAGAAGGCGAAGGCAAAGGGCGTGGAGGTGGTCTTGCCCACAGACGTCAATATCGCCGATAAATTCGACGCCAATGCCAACACCCAGGTGAGAGAGGCTACTTTCGAGGTCCCAGATTGGCCTGGCGGCCAGTTTCATGGAGAAGGCGTGAGCCAAGGGCGTGCAGGTGGTCTTGCCCACTGACGTCAATATCGCCGATAAATTCGACGCCAATTCCAATCCAACACCCAGGTGAGGCTACCATGGCTCGGAATATAGCATTAGGGTGATAGGCGGGGTCTGAGAATGTGCTGTGAGGAGGTTGGAAGGGTGGAAGGGAATTAGGACGTGCTGCTGGTGCTTCCTTTGCTGCTTCCACTTATTCTGCTGATCCTGCTAAGCCCGCTTCTCCCGCTGCTGCGGCTACTGCTATCGGAGGTTTAAGCGCAGCGCAGGTACCATACCAGACGGCTGGATTGGTCTGGAAAACATCCCTCACGGCGTCTTTGCTGGTTCCGATTCGTTGCAGAGCAAGCCTATACAGCCTAATTGCTTCAAGCGTGTGTCGCTCCTCCCTCTCCTCCCGTTCTCGTCGTCAGATGGTGCCAATAAAAGCCATTCAGGACGGCTGGATGGGTCTGGACCTCGGAGATGACACTATCAAGTCGTTTTCTTATAAGCTCGCTGATGCAAATACCATATTCTGGAACGGCACCATGGGTGTCAACGAATTTCCGAAATTTGCGGCCGGAACCAATGTGAGTCATGGAACCATGTTGACTTGCTGTTGGAAAATGTGGTTAATGTTGATCCAGGACCACCATCGAACCCTGAGTCCTCTTCTCATTGTCACTCCACCACGCCTTATCCCTGCTCTTATTACGGTACTCTGTTCCATCGCAGGCCATTATTTCTAAGCTCGCAGATATGACGGAAAAGGGTGCCACGACCATCGTCCTAGGCCGTGACACGGTGGCAGCAGTGGAACAAGCAGGATTGGCTAACAAGATGACCCATGTCTCGGCAGGTGACACCGCGGGGTTGGATCTGGTGGAGGGTAAGGTACTTCCTGGCGTTTCTGCCCTTGACGACCAGTGAATGGATAGGTCTGTGATGCACGAATGGATATAGCCACGAGGCGTGAATGAGGCAGAAAGTGTAGCTGCTGTTAGATAAGTAGGATGTATAGCACTTGGAGCATCTGAAAGTTCTTGATTTTTCCCTAAAGTACAGAACTGCCGAAGGCTGTCCAATGATCCAATCTGAAAAAATGATACTAGCATCAAGGCGTTCCAAACAAAGGCTTCTTCCTCAAGTGGCCATAAGGCGGTCTATTCGACAAGCCAAAGCTGTCTTCCACCCAACATTTTGTACTATATTCTCCCAGATTGACGCCACTGGGGACTGTCCCTTGCCCCATTTTGAGTAAGCTTTCATTGGTATAAACCATCTTTAGTCACAGTTTCTATACTGCATTTCCACTCACATTTATGCCTTTACCACATAATTATGCTTGCAATTTTAACTGATTTGCCAAATTCGTTTACAGTTTTGGGCGAAAAATGAGCTTTTGCGGAGTCAAGCCAAGTCCGTCCATGTCATCCCACAGGCCCACTTGTTCTACAGAAGCCCCTCGATCAACGCCGCAGCAAGTGCATCCTGCCAGCGAAGCCGTTACGCGCGCAACCACTTTGATGTCGCGCGGAACAAACCAGCGGGGCGCAGAGCAGGCGCAAGTTTCACTTGAACAAGGGGAGCCTTGGCGGAAACAAACACAGCAAAAGGGCACACAGGAAGTTCCGCGCCTCGTTTCATCATCTCTTAGCCTGTCTCATCTCCCTCTCCTATCTCCCAGATATTGGTTTCGCGCCATATTGCCATATCAGCAGTGGTTCCACTTTGCTAAAGCTCGTACAAACCGTTTTTTACCTGTATGTTACTCTCTTCAACCGATACACAACTCACGTAACCGTAGTAATCAGGGTGAGGGTGAACTTATCAGATGCGTCAGAATAGTGTGGTTCGCCTGTCAGCTTGCTTGTCAGTTCAGTTGTGCAGAAAAGTGGCATAGCAAAAAAACACACCAGAAAAGTGACATGTCGTGACCTTGACCTAACCAGCGGAGTTGTGCAATAGCGTGAGGTAGAAATGCGCTGCGAGATAACGGAGTTGAAGCATTGTGGGAGAATGTGCGTGCACAGCGTGAGTTAGGATTACATACCCATTTGTCGGAGTTTGTTATTTTAATATTAACGACAATATAATCGCTAAGACTCACCGAGACGCCTGGTTTTCAAGTATGGAGCGTAGCATGCAGATACCCGTGTGTAGGGGACTACCGCCATATAACCTAAATCTGACAAGTTTCCCTCTACCTGCTTGTTAGCCCTTTCTCGTTCGCAATCTGCTTTCGTTAGTGTCAAGTGTCATCAGTCTACCACTGCTTGCGTTCACAGTTCCAGGTTCAATGCCCTTAGTCCGTTACCTGACGCTACTAGACAGCAGCTCAGGGATGCCTATTCAGTCCGAACGACCTGTTGCTGTAACGACCTTCGCTCCTGCTTCTTCTGCCGCCTTTCGTCCAAGTTACCGCTGTCGCCGCTGTTCGTTAATGTCGCCACCGTGAGCATTTCCCAAAACGCCCGCGGCATTACCAGTAACTATCACTACGCACCCCCCCTATGAGGAATAGCTTTATGTCCCCGTTATAGCACGGATTAGAAGCCCTTATTGTCGAGCCCACGAAGGGCACGAGCGCGTCGCGAGACGGCCGCAACATCAACAACTGTCGTCGCTATCGCTTATGACGCTAACGTCGCGAACGTCGTCGATGTCGCCGTCGCCAGCGTAACCATGACCCTAGACGACCACAACATCAGCAGCTGTCGTTTCGCCTCGTGTAACACCTCGTTCGCCTCGGATCGCGGCGGGGACGGCGGGGATCAGGCTCTGGAAATCCAACGGTCAGGAACGTCTCCTGTAATGGAGGGGGAAGAAGCAGAGAGCGGTCAGGAGATTAGAATTTCGGCTGCCGCTACTAGCGAAATGATAGAAGATCCAATAGCAAAAAGTATTTCCGATTTGAGACGGGACGGAAGCAGCCATGAAGAGCTCGTACGCGATGCCAACGCTTCGTTACCAGAGGTAAGAAGGTTTCTAATGGAAATACTAAAATCGTATAAAAACTTTCAATGAAAGAGTGTGACTTGAGGCGTTTGGAGACGTCTCAAGTGTGTTGGTAGACTCAAATATTGATGCATTATTATCCAGTGTGTAAGCGACAGGATTTTTCAGCTCTTAATCTTCTTCTTTCCCTCCCGTTTCTGAACCATTCTCCTCGTCCTCCATTTCCCGCCGGTCCTCCTTCCCATCAAACCCTAACCAGCTTCTACCGAACTTGCCCTTCCATCCGGGGGGGAATCGGACCGATAGCATAGCATATTCCCGCAACTCTCATAATAGTTTCTCCCCGTCCGCCCTCCCCAGCTGCTGCGCGCCGTTTCGCGCCACACCCGGCGCCAGGCGGAAGTCGTCCTCACCTCCTTCCCCCGTCCCTCCCCCACTCCCCCTTACTCCCCCACCCAACCCCCCCTCCACAGCTTCTGCGCTCCTTGTTGTGTCACCCAGGCGCCAGGCGGACACGTCCTTCCCGCCCTCACCTCATTCCCCTCTCCCTCCCCCCCGAACCCCTCTCCCCCCACTCCCCCCACTCCCCCCCCTCCAGCTGTTGCGCGCCGTTTCGCGCCAAACTCGGCGGCAGGCGGACGCCGTTCTGCCCGCCCTCATCTCCTTCCCCCGTTCCGAGCAGCCGGCCGACTTCCTAATGAAGGCGCTGCACTTTCCGGCCTTCAACCGGTGCTCCGTTGCGATCGGCCAGGTGCGCCTCGTCGACGTCGGCGCCGGCGATGATGACGCGCAGCAGTAGGGGCCATGCCTTTCTGCATGGCTGGTGAGGTGATGGCGTGCTGTGTGTTGGGTGCACGCCAATGATGAGTTTTCTCCGTGTAGGTCTGCCATGCGGGTTGGGTGCACAAGCGTGAGTGCGGTAGGGGAGTGTTGACACGAATAGTGTGTTGGCCCCACCCTCGCTTGGGCGAAGCCGACGTAGTGGTCGGGTGCGCGGGAGGTGCGACTGACCATCCGCAGAGGTCGAGGCGTGCAGGTCGACGGAGTTGGTTGACCTGCAGTAGTCTGTTGCGAAGCTGCCGACGACAGGAAGCCGGCGGCAGATTTTGTCTAGAGTGGCCGACGAAGGGGATCGTCGACCAGCCTTGGGTGTGGTCCACGAAGCCATTCGTCGACATGCGCGGGACTTGTGAGCGTCTGTCGAAGGTGTGAGTTCGACAACAGCAGCTAACTGAGGTGGTCGACAGAGGGGTTCGTCGACCATGTTGATCCTCGATGGAGTAGTGGTTGACGAAGGAGGTCGTTGACCAGGGCGCAGGATGTTGGTACCCGGTCAACCAAGTAACCTCTTTGACAAGTTTCTACAGACACACGCGATGCTCAGGGTTGTAATGGTGAAGGCGACCTCGGGCTGGTATCCCGAGGTCGACGTGGAGCTTCGAACGCAACTGTCGGCACATGGCCGACCAGGCGCTTGCACGACGGTAGAGAACATGCTCGACCGTCGACATGCACCTGCGAAGTGGGTGTGCACCTGCGCTATTGTCGTCTGCCGGTGCAACGCTGGCAGACCGCTCTGCTGCAGCGTTGGCAAACCGCCTTAGTGCAGCATTGGCGAGCCGCCGACTTGCTCTGTTGGCAGATCGCAACTCTGCAGCGCTGGCGCGGTGCCTCTACGCAACGCTGGCAGATGTCGACCTTGTTGTGCTGGCGGTCGACCAGCTTGTATGTAGGGTTAATAGGTTCCTAATGTAGTCATTCTTGCCATTGCTTGTTCAATCATTGTTGTGAACTCTTGTTAGTGAAACTCTTGCCAATTCTTCCCGTGATTGTGCGCGTAGAGAGAATACGAGCAAAACACTAGGAACGCTACGATCACTCACACAACCCGTGCCTTCCCCCGTGGTCCAGCTCCCGGTGTAGAGTGTATCTCCGCAATAAGGATGATGAGAGGGAATTTCCCCAGGGAGTCCCTAACCAAGCAAACCCTAGCACACAATATATTGTTGTTCAGGATCCGTCACTTTGAGAGCTTACGACGAACTTATTACTCAACTAAACGCAAATCCGCTCAGTAGGATTGTGCGCCTTAGGCTTGGCTACCATCTCCAAGTTGAATCAGTCGTTAAGATGATCTAGAGAGTGAGAACCAAGTAAAAACGTCCAGCAGCCGCATGACTAGAATGGTAGAGGGAGTACAAGCATGTAGGCATAGAAAGTTGGAGTTGGGGACTCCAAGAGAACCATGAGAGAGAAGGGGTTCTCCAAGAGCTAGGGAAGGATGGTAGGAACCTTCCTAGCAGCAAGGATGCAACCCTCATCATGAGGTCCTTGAGGTGTCACATGCAAAATCCAATCTAGTTGGATTTTGCCTAGGTGTCCCATGCTAGAAACTTTTAGCCACCCCAATTCAAAAGTCAAGGTTGCCTTCCCTAACCACTTAACCAAAGATCCCTTTATAGTCATGTCCCAAGTAATCACCCAAATTAGATATAACCCCAAAAGGTAATAAGAAATCCAAGTCTTGGAAATCTTGTAACTTGGGCGATCTTGGTCGGAATAAGGCGATCTTGGTATCGTTGGAAAGCTCTGGATTTCTCCTGCATGATCAAGCATTTAAACTTGGAGAGAA